GTCAGACGCACTTTGCGAGCTTAACACAATTTCAGTTTGATTACTCTACGAACTTGCTTAGCAACCCCACCGAAGCCATAGAAACAAAGCCGACAGGGTTCCATGAATTACCAAGCAAATAGCAGCACAAGAGATGGAAAGCAAATATTTGTTGACTTATTGTACAAAAGTTAATAGTTGCTCTTAGTGAAGGCATATTTTCATTTAATATTGGTCTTAAGTAGCGCATAACACAATTATATTAGAATTTGAGGGTATTTACAAGTCAGTAGGCAATGGCAACGATTATGAAGTGATTGCAATTGAGTCAGCTGTCGAAATGCTTGAGGTAAACAAACAGGAAACAACGCTGTAGTGTTCTCAAATAGTATTGTGAGAGTTCAAAATGAAATCCATGTAGATTTGGAACTATCAAATGAGAATTACGAAAGAATTTTCACATTAAATATGAGTACCCTTTTTTTTGGATAAATTTTAACTAATATATAAAATTTCAATGACCCCTTTGTTTACATTTTTTGCGGTCACGAACCTTTGTTTACATTTGGGGTCAGTGACCCTTTTTTTACATTCACTAACACTTTTTTTTTACATTGTATGGGATCAGTGACCCCTTTTAGGATTCAATACACTTTAATATACTATTTTAATACAGGAATTTCAAAATTAATACTTTTCTTGATTTTAGTCGACGTTTTTAATTAAATTGAAACATTTCAAAATCCCGGAATTTCTAGATTGGAAATGCTTATTTTATCATAATGTCGAGAATTTAAAATTAATGTGCTTGGCATCTCAATCAATGCTTTCTTTTAAATATACAATTTCACAGTGCGGAAATTTCGGGATACTACATATCTACATACTACATGCATTTGCATTCGTGCGTTGACTTAACCTGTGACCCGTCACCATTCACTCACTCTAAGCGCAACTCAGCAAAGCGTGAGTGACTTCAATTTCCAACAACAAGAACCACAACAAGGAAATAATTTTAAAAATTTCATATTCCAGCAAGGCTGTGGCATTTTTTGTCATTTTACTCGTAAACTTGCAATTGCACGACTTTTGCTGCGTATGTGTTTGTTTCCTGTATGAGGTTGACCATAAATTTTTCCTAAAATTTTTACTTCGTTTTTTTTTTCATATTTTTATTTTGTCAACGCGTAGAGAGAAAATGTGTGAAAAACTAAAGTTGATCGCAGAAAAGTCAAAAAGTAGAAATATGCGAAATTAAGCAGTTGGGGTAATGCCTACTTTTAGGCGCATACACAAACACTCATGCACACACTTGCGCAGGCACTCAGCAAATCCTCAACGCTGCGCTGATGAAATCTAAGGAAGTGGAACGCTTCATGCGCTTTATGGAGCATGTGATTGCATGCAGGCTGGCAAGCAACACACGCTCAACGAAGCGCTGACGCTTTGCCCTTACATGCATGTGTGTGTGTGAACTCTTAAGTAGTTGGCCTAAAGTGGCGTGGGTAGCGGTTTTCAAGTGCGTTAAGCTGTGTTTTTGAGAAATTTGTTTAGTTTGCCAATTTGTTAGTTGAAGCCTTTTAAAGGTAGTTACTCAGGGGAAAATCATTTAATAAAAATTGCTAGGATTTAGTTGCATCTGTATGGCTATAAACATAAATTGAAGCATTAAAGTGTTATTTGAAAAGTTATTTAAATTTGCTAAGCCATTTTTGAAAGCTTTGGAGATAAAAATAAAACTTAGTGTGAGTTCGAAGCATAGAGGAAAGATAGAAGTTCAGTATGTTAAGAAGGTTCATATATTAATAAAAGTTACAAGTAACTCGGTTAGGTCTGAATCTATTTCTACTTACACCGAGACTTTTCAGACTTGCCCGCCTATTAGATTTCAGTTTTTACGCTTCTGGAGACCAGAGCCTTCTCTCCATAATAGGTTATTACGACTTTTAGTTATTTCTTCTAATAACCTCTATCTTTTCTTACACCACTCGACCAGATTTATCTTATACTTTTGATAAAGATCAGTCATACCTGTCAATTAAAAGTTAGTTCTTACGTAGCTAGGAACCAAACCCAATTATTTATACTTAACTGCAATTGGTCCGTTTCCCTTCCGAAGCATTTTGAAGAGACGGATATGTGAATTTTCAACCCAAGTCTCTTTTTGAAGTATCGAAGAGTTTTTAGTGTCTACTGTCCTTTCAAGAGAGTAAAAGAAGATCTTGAAAAGTACTATTTTCTACTTAACTGAAAATCATTTTGCTCTGATCTCTTCACTAAAGCTTTTCGAAAAAATATTGAAGAGACGGATATGTGAATTTTCAACCCAAGTCTCTTTTTGAAGTGTCGAAGAGTTTTTAGTGTCTACTCTCCTTTCAGAGTGAAAGAAGATCTTGAAAAGTACTATTTTCTACTTAACTGGAAATCATTTTGCTCTGATCTCTTCACTAAAGCTTTTCGAAAAAATATTGTTCGAGTGCCGAAAGGCCTTCGATGACTAAATGACTTTATGGAGTGTATCACCGCCCTGAGCAAATATTATTTCCTACTTAACTAGAAATCGTCTTGCTCAAAGCTCTTCGCTGACGCTTTTCGAGATGGTTTTGGGGATGTTCAATCCAAACTTCTTGTTTCAAAAAACTATATGCTCTTTGGGACCATGGAAAATATTATTTCCTACTTTTGATGCTTTTCTAGACAACGGATATGGGGATTTTCAACTCAAACATTTTAGTCTGATAGAGTTTTGCGGTAAAAATATCAGATAAAAGGTCTCGAAGGGTACAATTCCTGTTTAATTATTTGACTTTTAGAGTTTAGTTTCCACAGCTTATGCTTGGCATTCACTTTTTGATTACTATTAAAGCGGATGAAGAGTTAGATAATGAAGAAATGGTTTATATATATCTATATAACAGAGTCGCTGCATGCCTAAAATTCTGTCCACATAAACCATACTGGGTAGTTAGGCCTCTCGGAGCAACAAATATGGTGTCTGGCCGAAGTGAAAAATAATTTGCTTTATAAACTGAAGGATTTAGAGCCCGTTTCATTGATAATTTAGCCTACGGAACCTGAATAGCAACAAATCGTATTTTTTGAAATTTTGAGATCTAGTAATGAAATTATATATTAGCGTTGATAGATTTCTACTTATAATTATTTAACTCAAAGATGGGCATGGGTTTTTGGAACCAAAGCCTATTTTTCACATAACGGTTTTCGTGTTTCATTTTTTCACTAGAGAGCCTTAAAGTACAAATTCGGTATTCACTACACTTACGTCTGCTGCAAACTCTTTTTATGCGAAAATATTATTTTTCATCCCTTCTATTGTATACATACATATGTACATACTCATATGCTTGCTTTCCATTAATGCCACTTCCTTTTAAGACATAACTCTATCGCGAACTCTTTGAAATATTTCTTATTAAATCTCTCCACTACCAGCTTTTGATTGAATTTCTCCAATAACTGTAACCAACACGTACAAATGCATACGTAGCACGCTTCCGATTTAATTCAATTTGTGATAATAAAATTTCGTGGCATACACACAGGCGTAAGCATATAGTTGCGGCAGGCGAACGCGCAAGTGCAATAAAATGCCGCTATAAATGCGCCACATTTATGATTTTTCGGTTAGTCGCTATTTTCAATAGCTTTTCAGTTATACAATTTACCACACAAACATACACATATGTACAAGAGCTCACGCACACAAACACTTATAAGCTATTAATATGGCGCGGTGTAGCTCTTAAGCTTTCTAAGCAACCTTTTTAAACCTTATGTACAAGCTAATGTATGTACCATACATATGTTTGTGCGTGTGTATATAAAGTCATATTTTACTACCTGTTTACACCATAAACACACACACACATACCCAAGCAACGCTTGCCAGCCATTCAGCCATGAATGTTTGTGCCTTTTGTGCCTTCAAAAATGTTGTTAAGACACAAGCAAACATACATATTTAATACAATTCTATGTATGCATGTATGCATATGCTATTGATTTGTTGTTGTTGCTGCTTTTTTGGTTGTTGTATTATTAGCTTTGCATTTGACAGTTGTTAAAAGCACGTGTGAAAGGCGTAAAATCTCATTAACAATACAAGTGTTGTTTGGTCATGTTGTTGTTGTGACTGTAAATAGCTGTGAATTAAATTTTACGCTCTCCTTTATGTATTTCTGTGTTAGATAATGTGAAATAGAGTGTAAAAGTGCGCATATGAATTTATATTTTATTGCTTTATTTCGAAATTCGAACATTTTTTCTTTTCAATTGAATTTTTGGTAAAATAAAATTGTATTTCAACTCTTTGTTGTAGGTGTGTTTAACAGTTACCTTGCTGATTTTGTTGAGAAACACGTAAACCTTTATACATTTATCTTATTTTGCTTTCCATTTAAATTTTTTCTTATTATTGCACACTGACCGCCTATGTATCATCAAAATTCATTAGCGTAAAATTGTCGAAATAACAACCAGCGCACTTAAGAGGCATAATTGCTTTAGATAAGCATGCTCAAGAGTCCCCACACACCCTAGCAATCACGTTGGTTGGCATTAAGATGCTATGATACTCTTATTTTTTCGACAAACTTTCGCGCGGGTTGCATTTTGTTGCTATATTTTTCTTCCTTTTCCATTATTTTGCGTAATTCCATCACAATTGGTATTTTAAGGAGCCCTTCATCTCGCTTAACGATTATCAGTGTTTCAGATGTTCGCTGTTACCTCACCTTTTCATTTGACAATCTTGCACCTAGTGACCTTTAAAGTTTTCACCTTTTACTTTACTTATCTTAATATTTGTTTACTTTTGTATCTATTTCAAATGAAAACGCTTCCTTCCCGTTATTATTGCTTGCCAGCCGTGCTAAATATTTATTAGTGCAACCCTGTCATTAGCGCTTTTATGTTACAATCAGATAACAGATATAGTAATTGTAAGTGGCATGGCGAAAGTAGCGTGTAGATTCAATAGAAAATTAAAACAAAATGTCGAAGAAATTTTCGTGCTAATTTAATTCCAATAAAAAGGCCAAAAATATCGGATATATTTCGGTTATACCGTTTAATTTGATAAAAGTGTATTGTTTGCAGTAAACTGCAGCAAATGTTGAACAGCCATTCAAAACTCAACTGAGCAACCAAGCGCTTAAAACCGTTAAGATAACACTCCTAAAGGAAAATTTCAAATCTTTGCTGCTGCTTCGACTATTACATTTGCCCTTCAAGCACACTTGGCAATCCTGCAACGCGTCCTCACCATATTTTGTTGCTAGCAGCTCGCAGGCGGTCCGTTCGGCAGGCACTGCAATGCAGCCTTTGTTGATTTGCACTTTATTTTCGCCTGAAATATTAAATTATTAAAAAAAGAATATAAGGTAGTGTGTAAAAAGACGTTTTCCAAGATAATAGTGGTGAATGACACATCAACATGGCAATCCTAAGTTGAAAGTGGTGACTGATAACTGTTTGATATGGGGATTCCTGACCCAAACTACTCCGTTTAAAAAGATACACTAACGAAAAGCTGGTGGAATATAAGTTTTAAGTTTAAGATTTAAGATTTCACAAGAGAGGTAGTTGGGTGTTGTCTTTTCTCTGATTGCTCTATCAGAAATCCAGAAATCCAAATCCAAAACCAACTGATCTGAGGAGTTATGTAGTCTTGCCAAAAGGCAAGAATTGTCAAAACTCCGCACTAGTTCACGAAAAAAATTACGTAGATAACTGTTTACGCTTGTTCAGAAGATAAATATTTGAACAAAATTCATATTTTTGAATACATAATTTTGAAACCACTTAACTCTTTACTTTACTCCAAAAAGTGGTGAAAAAAAAGCTTTAAAATATAAACAGAGCAATACTGCTCCCATTAGAGTTCAGCTATCGACTAATCTTACCTTTAACGCGTACGGTGTAACATCTATAAGTAATGTTCACTTGTTTCAGTCCCGCTACATGCCTCAGTTTACTATATTTGTTTAGTAAAAAGTCTGTAGGAGTTTGTTTAATTAAGAATGGTTTGGACATCTGGTTGCCGTGGATTGTGGTTTCCTCAGCATTACGATTGTTCTTCTCAGCGCCAAGCTTTCCGCGATAAGTCTTCGAGCGTTTGCGGAACTGTTCTTCAGAATCAAAAAGAGTGTTGACATCATCTTCGTCTGAGTATTCTTCGGAAATGACAGCTTCGGTTTGCGCATTATTTACATTTGATGTAACATTGGCATTTGCCGATGTTGTTGTCACATTTGCTTGAAACTCTGAAGTACCATTAAGTTCAATCGCTTCGCTTGTTTCATTGTCTGTTATAGTGGCCGTCAAATTTGCCATAAGCGTTTGCAGTGTATCGTTGAGATTTTCAGCCAGTTCCATTATTTCAGGAACCGTAGAGTTGTCTTGCTCTAATATGAAAGTAGAATTCATGGTCTGACTTTCCAATGTCGAATTTCCTGTTGTCGTTAGGTTCCCAGAATCCACAGCTGTAGAACTTTCTTGTGCTGTTCCATTTATTCCTATAGTACTTTCCAATATTTGCATCTCAGTAGTTATATTTCCCGAACTTATAGCTGTTGTATTAACTTCTGTTGTACCATTAAGAACTACGGTACTGGTCATAGACTCTGTTGTTGTTACATTGCCAGAAGTTAGGGCTGTTGTACCGTTAAGTTCCACAGAACTCGCGGTTCCATTTTCCAACAGCGATGTCCCGGTAATAAGACCTGCTGTACCATTAATCTCCATAGAACTCGAGGTTGCGTTCTCTAATACGGCTGTTGTATTATTTTGTATTGTAGCATTCAGCCCCAAAGAACTCGTGGTCTCATTTGCCAATATTGGCGTAGTTGTAATTGTTCCGTTCCCAGAATTGACCTCATTTTCCAATATTAAAATCTCTGTTGACGTTACGCTGTCAGAACTAAGGTTCGTATTATTGATTGTTGTTGTATCACCTCCAAAATTTAGGGTTGTTGTGTTAATTTGTGTTGTTCCATTAACTTCTTCAGAGATCAAGGTCTCTGCGCCATTGAGTTCCCATACCTCAGTAGCCATACTCGTAGAATTTACATTTACCGAAGTATTTAGAGGACCTATATCTGCAGTTTCGACTGTACCAGTGATGTTTTCAAAACCATCACTCCCGGGCGCTGCTACTGAGGTAGTATTGAGAGTTGACACAAATGTAGTTGAGTTCAAGAAAGTTTCGCTTGTAGTTACATTCAGTTCGAGCATATCAGTAGTATTTGTGGTAGTATTTTGTTGTAGAGTGGAAGTCAAATTAACCGTCAAAGTTGGCGTTGTGCCTAGTAACAGCGGTACGCTTCCGTCCTCCGTTGTCTCGCTGGTCTCATTGGTAGAAATAGCAGTGACGTTGAAAGTGTCCTTTTCTCCACTCGTTCTGTTCGTCGTTTCTCTATCAGGCTCGTTGTAGATTGGCGATTCTGCGCTCTCTCGCTCCCACTCCATATCCTCATAAGATTCCATGGAGTCAATAGCATTCGGTATACTAACTGTGGTTAAGTTTTCTTGGACTGCAACTATAGTGGATGTCACATTTTCGAAATTGGCTGAGGTGACTGTTGTCGTCGTCGTTGTCAGATTCTCAAAATTGGCCGAAGTGGTATTTTCGTTTATTATTGCTGTGGTTGTCGTCTGTGTTGAGCTGATGAGTGCAGCAGTCTCTGTTGTGGTCTCAACTATTGGGTCTATTAATTGTAACTCTCCAAGAAGTGCACAGGACACCAATTCGCCTTCATTTTCATCGCAATCTTCACATACGTAGCACTGAATGTAGTCAGCATTGGCTGTAAAGAAGTATGAGATTTTAGAGGAGTTTTCTAAGATGGTGAGGGCTTAGTATATAAAGTAAAGTTACTGTAAGAATTTTACTCTTCGATCTTTGTCTTGAGATACTAGTAGGGAAAGAAGTGTTCTCCGTAGCTGGGATTTCTTTAGAGTGCTTTCGAAAACATTCTTGACGAAAAATTTCTTTGTGAGTTGAAGGGTCATCTGCTTATGACAATATTCCTGAGAGATCGAGAATTTTTTTAATTTTGATGTCAATTAATTCTTTATATCCTTGGAAGAGTTTGCACGTTTAATAGTAAATGCTCAAGATATCTGAAATACCTTAATTATGGTTGATATCAAAGATTTTTTATGAAATTATTGGAAAACCTGTTCTCCCGGAGGGGCCTGAGAAAGGAAACTTAGGAGACATGTATACTTCGGTGAAGGGCTGTGAGTTTTGAGCTGGTGTGGCTGCTTCATTACGGCAGGATGTGACAGATTTTAACCAGATATACATATACATCATGTAAGAGTAAGAAGGTGCTGATCTAATGGCTTGATTAGGGTTAAGTAACTCGAAAAGACCTCACTATCTGTGGATTTTTCTGCTTCGGAGAAAAGTTCGGCATTTATGCGAGGATAATCATTGAGGAATTAATTGTTTGTCGTAGTCTGAGCAAAGAAACAACGAAAGAATAAGTGGAAGAATGTGAAATTGCTTCTAAACTGGTTCCAGTGTCGCATTAGAGCCTTTGCTTGGACTGTCATTTGTTTTTTACAATATTCTGTTCGCATTTAATTTGCTTAATTGAAAATACTTTTATTTTTACCCTCTTTATTGCCTTGACTAAGGCAAGTTATTTAATGAGTGTAAAGAATTTCTTTTCTTGTACTTCACCACAATCTCTTATCTTTTGCAAAGATAACTGTTATCAATGGTGAACGAAACTATCTTGTATTTTTTCAAAGATCTAATTCAAATATCGATTGACAATACTAAAATTCAGTCTCCAGTATGTCGGTACATTTTTTGACTCACCTTTCTTGAAGAAAATTAGTAGAATGACAAAATATATATGAAACTTCATTTTACTGCTTCATGCGGTTTGCAAAAAGTTGCAGAACAGTAAATTTTTTTTTTAATTTAGACACGTTCCACCGAATTTTTTAATATATTTATATTTTTTATAGTTTTTTTAAATTTAGAATTTTATTAAATGAAAAATTTGCTTAAATCTTTATATATTTTTTTTTATTAAAATGTATTATTTATTGAAACAAATTTAAATTTTTTATAATTTCAAGTTTTTAAATTTTTTTTAAAACTTTTTTTTAATATTTTTTTTTTATAAAAGTGAAATATTTAAAAATTATTTTTTTAACACTTTTAGTATTCTGCTTAAATTGCTTCAATAATTTTTTCACTTATTTCATATAATTTTTCTGCACTGAATAATTATATATGTACATCCAGCAGGTCCATTCAGTTGGCACTCACTAAAATTCCATCAGTTTTTCATCACTAGTTATTTCCAATTTTCACAATTGCGATTTTTATCTTAACGAAATAACAAATTATTTTATCTGCTTGCTTGCGCGTCTGTTACATAGCATCACGAACTGATAAAATTGTTCAACGGTTAGACAGATGTCCCATTCTGCCGCGCTTTTGCCCTATTTCGCTTCACTAATGTCGGCGTTGTAATCAGCGGTGTTTCCCTTGTCGAATGATTGCTAGTTAGAACTCGGTTAGAAAGTGAAGTAGCACCAGAGATCCATTGCTATTTATGAATAATATTTCTAAAATAGTGGATGCGCAAGAAGTTAAAGTATATGTTATCTTTCATCATGGGGAATATATTAAAGTGGAAAAAAAAAATATTGGAAGATGACAATTTTAAACTTATACATTTTTATTGAAATCATCGCAAATAGTCTGATTATCCATTCCATCCATTTTTTTCAAGCTATCTTAAATTTCTTAGTACGTGGCAACTCTGTATTAAATAGATTAGCGTTTTGTGAAATTTTCTGCAATTTACTTCGTATGATATTAATCTTGATTTAATTGAATCCTAATATTATCTATAAAAACATATGGCAACCCTATACTCAAAAATTTGTAGTAAGTTCTTTGTTAAGTAAACAAATTTACCTTCCTCCAATTTTTAAAGTTATTTATGTATATTTTTTTATTTTATACCATTTTTAACATGTGGCAGCACTATCTCAAAAATATGTTATGCAGTTTTTTAGGAAAATATTTGTCTGTGTACAATTTTTAAAATATTTTTTATTTTATACTTTTTTCATGTGGCAACCCTAAATTCAAAACATTCTAATGAAGTCTGTTTTAGTAAAAAAAATCGTTCATACCATTTTTTATTTTTTTTAATGAAAATTAAAAAAAAAATATTTTTTTAGTAAAGAATTCCTCTTAATACAATTTTTTATTTAAAATTTTTGTATTCTATACTATTTTTTTCATATGGCAACCTTATACTCTAAAATATCTATGTTAAAAATCCTTTGTAGTGAAAGATTTCCCTTCATACCATGTTCTGAATTTTTTTTACATTTATACCCGGTTTTACATATGGCAACCCTATATTCAAAGTTTTTTGGTAAAAGCCTTCCCTTCATAAAAATTTTTAAATTTTCTTTTTATTTTATAATTGCTTTATATTTATATTCCCGTATGAGTGGCAGTCATATGTTACAATATTCTTTTGCACACCCGTACCTTCTTTTTGGCTTGGAATGCTGGCGTCCAATAGAAGCTGAGCACAATGGACTTCACAAATGTCCCTCTATTCATTATTATAATTCCTCTGACTTAGATTAATTGGAGTCAGCTATGTTCCGACAATATTATTTAAATCAACATGAAGTAAAAGACTTTCAGACCACCCTTTATGATCGCTCAACCTACCCTACAAATCTACTTCTCTAACTAAATATTGTGATATACCCTTTACAACAATAAATAGTGGTCTTATATGGCTTTTGCAGTAACAAACAGTGAGTTCAAAGTAGTTTTCGGTAAATTTATATCTCATCCACTCAAGAAGAATCCAAGCTCCTAAGTATCTGAAGCTTATTGGGAAGCTGAATAACTGATTAAAAGGTTTGTGATTTGTGTTTGAGAAGCTGAATAACTGGTAAAGCGTTTTGTGATTCAGCGTCTGAGGTCCTACGAAATTCCCTCATTCATTAGTGGAAATACTATAGCTGCGAGTATCCAAATCAAAACTCGAATTTCTTTACTGGACTATTAAACCACAACTTTATGATGCAATGATACAAATGAATGTCACAAGTTCCCAAAATCTTACAAGCTCCAAACTCATGTACTTCCAACTACATCTGTATTCTACTAACGGTTTGCAACATATTTAGCTTGCAGCTTGAGACACTGCCCAACGAACGTAAAAGTGACCATTAATAAAGGCAATTAGTTGAGTGAAGAGTGTAAAAATAACAAGTGACAGTGCGATCTCTCATCAGCTCAACAGCCACACTAGAGCGGGCACTTGACCACAGCTGTGTAGAACTTCTACGAATATATATGTTTACCCTTCTGCCAGATGCAGTTAAACAGTTAAACTAGAAGAATACGAACACAAACTTACCTTTCCCCAAACTCAAACCTCCTGAGCAAACGCCCACAGTCTACGCTACGACGTAGGTTGAGCGCTTGCACACACTTCTGAGCTCTTTCATAGCGCCCAATGGCTATTAAACACTTGTATCTAAGTGTTTCCGCTATTGTCGAGCGGTTGTTCGTTCGGCGCAGACGAAAACCAATATGACAACAACTATAAATTATGAATGTCGTGCAATTCATTATCAAACACTGAGTGTTGACCATTAAGTGCGGCGTGTAAACAGAGACGCGTGTCATTACATACGAGACATACACACATATGAATACATTTGCAGCTAGTTCATAGCAAATATATTTACTGGACCTTTGTACAAACTAAGCGCTGTAAAAGCTGAGCACTTTCTTGAGCAAATAAATTTTAAGTGCTTTAGTGCAGCAGCGCAGTCGTTAAGCTCGCTGAGGATTTGCTATAAAGTGCAGAAAAATAAATATGTCGCTATCGGTAATGTAGAATTGGAGTAGAAAATATTTATACGTTTTGTTTTACTTTCATCCCGTTGATCTGCTTGCTCTACGCTACTCCAGCCATTTGTCAATTGAGTTTGAGGCCGTTAAGCTACGGTGGTTGAGAGTACTGCACTCGTCAGTTAATTTTCATTGCTTCCGAACGAAGTCTTCTTGGTATGTGGTTGTTGTGTCCAAGTTTTCGTCCAACAACATGTCTTAATCTTTCAGAAGTACCCATCATCGATAGCTGCCACTTCCGAAGTTGGTTTCTTCGGTAGGTTTGATTGCTTTCCTTCTAAGCTTTTGCCTGGTCACCTGTTTCCTGGAATTGTAAGAACTCTTCGTCGCCAGAAACTTTCCTTACAAATCACAGATACTTATAGTTTCTAGAAATCACCCGTGGAAGCGAATCATTGATATTTTTTTAATCTAGAATAATCCTATCTGTCTTCGAAGAGGGTATTTTAAGTCACAAAATTATATATTCGTTAGTTTAGACACTTTAGAACTTAAAATTAGTAATATATTAGTTATAGTGGCTGCTAATATTTACTTTAGTCGAGGAATAGTTCTCACTGGTCATTAGAAAGCTTTTAGACCTTTACGGTTTCAACTGGGCAAAGTTTCACAAAAATCTTTTCAGTCGGAAAATACGTAGTCTTGTTAGTTATGCAAATCTCTAACAGTTTCTTGGATTTTTACGATTTTTACCGGCCTAGAAAAGCTTAATTAAAATCGAGAATATATTAACCAAAGTGATCTGAGACAAATTTTGGGTCTACTTGTGGGAGTGGCAGTGGAAAGTTCATTGAAAAAGTTGTTTCCTGAGAAATAGGTTATTTTTATAATCCCTGTTGACGAATAAGCTTAACAGCTTACACCAAAAGATGCAACTTAGTAGATTAATGAGACATAAGAGGTTAGGTATTGTTGATTATGCGGGGTATTAGTAGTACTACTGGGCAAAAATGTACGAAGAAGCAAAGGAGAAACTATAAAAATAGTTTGCCTGACCGGCTGAGACCAAAAGTAGTCTGCAAAGTTACTAAACCTAGGTCTCTATTCGAAAGTACAGTAAAAAGAGTATCTATACTAATTCTAAAGTTTCTCACGATCTATTTTAGGGTGCAATAGCACCGAACTACAGCTATATACTCTTATCTATTTGAACTCGTAAATAATTTGAGAATTACAAATCGAATAGACCGCGAGAATGAAATTTAAAATTTAAAGTGTTCAAGCTACACAACTTAATGAGAGAATGATGCATTCCATTGAAATACTTAGCCATATTTCAATTGATTTACCAAACACTTGAAAAAAAAAATCACTTTTTTCGTCCTCTCTTGGCTTATAAGCGACAAACGCACTGTAGTTGACATATTTCGTATGACTATTCAATGGCAATCATGCAGAAATACTGATTTATTTCGCATAACAACATAAAAATTAATCTGAAAAATAAAAAAATTGTATGAAAATTGTTTGGCTCACAAAAGCATTCAACACAATGTGGTAAGCCTGATAGCATATGTGAATGCACAGCAATTTAAAGCAAATCAAGTGTAACTTGCTTGTCCACAACAATTGCCAGGCGCAGAAATTGTGGCAGGGGAACTGAAGTATGGACTGTATATGTAGTGTATGGGTGGCAAGAAGTGTTTACGCGTCGAAAAATAACAAGCTTAAACAAAATTGAAGGCAAATTGTGGTACCATAACAACAAATACGACATGCATAAGGCTTGTACGTAACAGTTTGCTATTTTAAATGCATACTTTTTGGCGTTTGCTACATGAAAATTTGAATTGTTTGCTGTGTCTTTACTATTGTGAAGTATTTTGCGCTGCTGCGGTTGTTCCTCCTGTACTATACAGTTACAGCTTTTACAACTTGACGAGTATTTGGTTGTAAACATTTCTTTGTACCGGTAATTTTTCATTTTTGTGCGCGCTCTGCACTTGACGTACGACTTTTTAATTGGGTCTGGCCTCCTCCCCTCTCAATATACTTCAGTAATGCTACACACCAACGACATTCAGTCTAG